GGTCACTGAGGGATGGCATTTCCAGGGTGGAGAGAGCGTTGGTGTAGCCGGAGTATTCTGCACCGAGCATGATTCTGCAGGCCCTTTTCTGTACCTTCTCTAGCTGACGTTGTTGGGTGGAGTTGAGAGAAGACGACCAGGCTGGTGACGCATACGTTAGTTTGGGGAGAATAAAGGCGTTGCAGATAGTCCTCAGCTCTGGCGTGGGTGTTCCAAGTGACCTAAGTCGTCGTGGCATGTAGAGACGGTACGAGGCTGCCTTGACTGTGTTATTTACATGGACCTTCCAGTCCAGTTTATTGGAGAGGATGGGCACCCACTGTGAATGCTAGAGCTTGCATTGGAGTGGTGGCGGTATTGATGTGCATGACTTCGGTTTTGGTGTGGTTGATGGTGACCCTTTTCTCCGTAGTCCATGCCAGAAGCCTGCCCAGGGTGCCTTGTAGCGATGAGTAGTCTGGTGCGGTGTTGTCCACTGAAACCCCCACAGTGCAGTCATCCACGTACGTGTGAGGAGTGTCCAATAGAGCGTCGTTCATCAGGATGAGGAAGCACAATGGTCCCATCTTGGTTCCCTGGGGAACACCGCAGGTGAGGTGTTGGAATGTGGAGACGGAGCCCTGATACCTCACTGCCTGACGACGTCCACTCAAGAAATCAGTGAGCGATGAGACCGGGTTGGTGGGCAGCCCTAGTGCAGTGGCCTTGTTGATAACAGTGCAGTGATCAACAAAGTCAAAAGCCTTCCTGAAGTCAACAAGGGCAACGGCCAGTGATGTCTTACGTTTCTGCAGGTTTTTGTGCAGGAAATCCAGAAAGCTCACTAAGCAGTGTGATGTAGAGGAGGTCCTCATATTGCCAAATTGCTGTGGATCAATTGACTGATAGATTCTGGCAAATGCCCACTCAAAAACAAAGTCCTCAGAGTAGACTGGGTATGGGGGTAATGGCAACTGGCCTGAGGTCGTTAGGGGACTGTGGGGTGGTGACCTTGGGGATGGGGGGTGACAAATGCGGTTTTCCATTTATTTGGGCATTTGCTTTGTCTGAGGGATGCATTAATAATAAAACAGAGGGGGTGGCAAGTGTGGTGTGTGTGTGTGTGTGTGTCGACGAAGGCAGTACCCACCACCATTTCGCCGGAGGGGAACTTGTAATTGTATTAAACCATTAATTACTACCTGTGAAGGTTTCCAGGTGTGGGATATAATTGTTCTGTGTATTTTTTGCATTGTTTTTCGTTTCTGTCGTTCGTCTCGTCTCCATAATTTGGCCTTCATATATTTTTTTACCTTTATGTTGTACTTTCCCTCATCATCACCATCGTCTTCGTCATCGTTATCAGGGTTAGGTCATTGGATTACTTGATAAGCTTCAGATATAACTTCCAGTGGTCATTTTAACTGAATGGTTTGGGAATATGTGATATTTTCAGAGTAGACAGGAGGGAAAATGAAATGGGAATCACAAGTATAAACGAAATAGGTATAAATGTATATAGCCAGGTGAACAAGGGTTAAAAAAAATTGAACATCTCTTTTGGTAAAACTATTTCAACCTTCTCTTGCTGCAGTGCGTGAACGTGCAAATGAGCTTCGACAAAATGCATGGGAAAAGTATGTAAATAGCATGGGGCAGCTCACATCCTTGATGGTAAAGCTTGGAGCTGGTGAGTCACTAACACGATCGGGTGGACATAGTCTCCCATCTGGACCCGCGGCGGAAAGGGGATCAGATGAGAGTAAAATCGGGTCATGTCTCGTCACGACCATTTACTAACCAGAACTCGAGGACGTCAGCAGAAATTGAAGAGAAAAATGATGACAAGTTTTTTGGGGGTAAACAACACAGCGTGATAACATTATCGCCTGTGATGTCATTAGACTTGTGTGGAGTGTACTTGGGAATTCATTATTAGCATTATGTAAGTCAGTTCTTGAACTTAAAGCTCCTGTATTTAAAGTAATTAACAGGTAAAACATACTGTACAAGCTAGCCTAAATGGACAAAGGTCATTTGTTAAACTGGGTAGGTGGCTTTTACGTCAGATATGCAGGTTAGCGCCCCGCAAGGTGGAGCACTCTGCCCTGCTTCGTTTACTGGACTCATAAATCGATTGTTGACGTCTATTCTCGACTGTCCCAGAAATATCACAGTTAACTACACACCAAAACCCGCCGCCAAATGAAAGTTACTCCGAATTATATACCGGTAGATGTACCCTGTGAGAATCTTGGTCTTATCATCCCTACCGAGAAAATTGTTGTTCAGTATACAAGCTGGCAACTACAAACACGGACCATCAAAGCTGAAGATAGAGACAACAACACCATTGTCTGGCTATCTGTCTGTTTTCTGTCTTTGCTTTAAATATTTCTGTTGTCTCGCTGCCCTGTACCTCACCTGCCCCACAACTAACCTGCCAACAAGTCCCCCAGAACAAGTGTAATTAGCCACATTTACAGAGACAATATTGATTTTGTTGAAACAGTGTACCTGACGTAGATAAGCCTTGGTTCTTCGTGACGGGAAAGGTATTGTTGAACTTGGTGTAGTAACATAACACTGTATCATCATCTGTTCCATCATCGTTATTAACATTATTATCATCATAAGTTTCATCATCAGTATCAGTTTTAACACCATCATCAGGATCATCACCATCATTGCCATCTACATCATCACCATTCTCTCACTTGCTTCCTTTCTCCTCCTCTATAATCAAAGGACTTACAAGAACGACTTCGGGTATCATTTCAACATCAAATTTTCCCAGAATGTCAACAGGATTCGAGTTGCTTCATAAAGTGTATTAAGGAAGAAGATGAGGATAATGATGGTGATGATAGTGATGAAGGGCAGCGCATGGATGAGACTGGCTAAGGGAAATATATGAATAAGAGAAGGACAGCGAGAGGAGATGAATAACAGGACATCAGTGGGTGGGTAAGCAAAGGAGTTGAGATGGAGCCAAGTGTCAAGTGTGGGCCAAACGTCATACCAATTGCGAGGCGACTAAAGGAGGAGGCGGGGGGGGTGGCTTTTCTCTCTTTAGGTATGTGTACCTAAGGAGGGAGGGAAGGGGAGGGGCGGTAACTGGGATGGGTCCTGCGTGGTATAGACCGGTCCAATCGGTTCGGGGAGTAACAATTGAGTTCCCAAAAGGTCATATAGTGATTGGTGGTATTGGCCGGGCGAGAGGCACCGCAGGGAGGGGAAGGCGAGTGTCTGCCGTGTACAAGAAATGTATACCATTGTTACCATTGAACTCTCTCTCTCTCTCTCTCTCTCTGACGTAGATGACGTTACTGGTTCCATTGTCTGCCAGCTACTGTTGCTTCTATCGTTTACCACTCCTTGTAAGTCTGCCAGAAGTGCTGCTGTTGCTTCCTTAGCCGCATGTAAGATTAGGTTAGGTTAGTTGGGGGCCCAGTAGGATTAGTCACTTGCTATCGATACCTAAGACAAAACTCACTTCTCTGGTCGTAAATGTGTTATTTTCTCAACATACTGTACACCTGTCTTCACAACATGGCTTTTACCTTCATGAACGGCTGTTAGCACCCACTAGTACTGAGTATTATCTGTACAAGGTCGCTTGTGTGTCGTGTTTATCAGTGGTTGTTGTTGATGGTGCAGACCTGAAGGCCGACTTTGGCACGTTTTAAGAAGTCTTTTGTTATTGGTAGTAAGAAGAGTCATTATGATGTAAACAAACACACGTGTCTTTATTGACATGAGAGAAAGGTGTGCATCTTTTAGTGGTGATTGTAGACGGTGTGGCTGTAGGTGTCAGGACGGTGTATATTTGGCTGTGTTACCTTGGGTCAGGACGGTGTATATTTGGCTGTGTTACCTTGGGTCAGTGACCGGTGTATATTTGGCTGTGTTACCTTGGGTCAGGACGGTGTATATTTGGCTGTGTTACCTTGGGTCAGGACGGTGTATATTTGGCTGTGTTACCTTGGGTCAGGACGGTGTATATTTGGCTGTGTTACCTTGGGTCAGGACGGTGTATATTTGGCTGTGTTACCTTGGGTCAGGACGGTGTATATTTGGCTGTGTTACCTTGGGGTGGAAAATAAAACGTGGTATTGCACATTGATCCTAAGTCGTTTGTTTACTGTTATTATTCTGGATTTTTTTGTTTCTGCGCCTGTGACAGAACTCATACTTGTACTATTGTTTCTGAGTGAATAAAATGAAATTAAATTAGTAATATTAGTAGTATGCAGTTGTATGTATGAAGTGAGTTTTCCGTGTTAGAGCTTTTCCCTGTGTTGGTGGCGGGAGCCGAGAGGGACACTAGTAGTAATCGACACGGGATGTATTTTTTCCGGTGGTTACGGAGGGGAAATCTAAGCTGGGAACAGGCTTAAGTGGTTGTGAAGTAGCGACATCCTCCGCTGGTGCTGCTGCTGTGGTGCCTGCCGCCCGCCAATCATCAACCCGATGCTGCCAAGGTCAAGAGTGCCGCGCTCTCATGACGCACCTGTGACGTGCCCATGACGCCTCCATGACGTCATGCCGCTGATGAAAACTCCACGTGCCTGCATCATCAGGGAGCAGCAGGGGACTCGACGTGGGAGTCAGTTGGCGTATAATTATCCCCGGTATCCCTCTCATGTGTGGTGCCTTATGCCATGATTAATTGGTGCAGAAATGTGAGAAAGTCAAATCATAATTGTGTATAATTGGCGCTTATGACTGGTGCTGCTATAAGGTCAGCTTTACCCCCTCGTAACCTGTGATGCCACACCAAACTGAAGTATATCATCCACAGCAGCCTGCACATGGCTGCACCTCAAGTATCAGTTACAGGAAAGATGTGTGGAGGTAGCTGCTGTAAGATGTGTGAGTGTAGGCGCACGTAGTGGGGTTGGGTGTGGTTGGGTGTTGTGGGGTGAGCGGGCAGCAGCAGTGTGGGGCCTGATGGTAGTGGGGGAGGGGCTTGGCGGGGCTGGGAGAGGTGGGAGGCAGCCAGTCAGCTCGGCGGGCCAGGCAGTCAGTTAGTGAGACGCGCGCTCAGGTGCTGTGTATACGGGGTCGCACCCGCTCTCTACCGAGCTCTCTCCACTCTCTCGGGACTTACTGCTACACACGCACACACACACACGTATAGTGTTGTGTATATTAGAAAGATATTGTGTATGCTATAGTGAGTTATTCGTGATAATGTTATCATCACTAGTGGTATTATAGTATTAATTAATATTTTGCAGTAATTACTGCGGAAAATGAACAGCGTGCAATCGGTGACCGCAGTGAAGCCTTGTGCTGGTACCACCGTGGTACGGATGTACACAGAACGCCCTTCGTGCTGCTTCGCTTAACCTCCTGCAACTCTTCCCATTACTCATGTTAATTGTGTATGTTTATTACTCATTATCAGTGTCAGATTAATCATGAGATGTTACAACACAAATCTTCATTGATGCCAAAGTGTTGTGGGAAGAGAGTGTAAGTGTTCCAACATAAAGGAGGAGCGCTCAACAAGTGGTTATCCTGCGAGTGCCAGGCAGTGCCAGCAACTCACTGATAGGAAGTACCAGTTGAGGCCCATCAGCACTCACAGGGAACCAGGAAGACCATGCTGATCGACACCACAACGCTGAGAAAGGCTCTCCCTCCTCGTGGCTTGGTTGTGAGGGAGGAGTGAGTGAAAACAGTGGTGGATGTAGTGGTGATGAAGAGTAGTGTGGGCGTCGACGCTGGTGGGAGGAGGGAGCAGGAAGCCAGAGAAAGTCTTTTCTCCCCCTACGCCTGCTGGTGATGCCTCGTGTGGTACTACATTCCTTCGCTCCTCCACTCAGCCACACAAACACCTGCCAGTTGTAGCGTCTACCATCACACACCTACCTGGGAACCATCACTTGTGTTACACTCCACCACAGTGCCTCCACTACCACTTGAACTCCCTTCTCCACCACTGGGCTACCTAAGATGAGGTATATCCACCACTGGGCCACTTAAAATGACGTATACCCACCACTGGGCCACTTAAAAATGAGTTATATCCACCACTGGGCCACTTAAATGAGGTATATCCACCACTGTGCCACTTAAATGAGGTATATCCACCACTGGGCCACTTAAATGAGGTATATCCACCACTGTGCCACTTAAATGAGGTATATCCACCACTGGGCCACTTAAATTTAGGTGCATCCACCACTTGGCCACCTGACCTGCACATTTTCCACACCTGTGCCATCCACCCAACATTGTTAAGGTGTGTTGGTGTGATCTCCAGTGGTAACAAAGGTGGCTCAGTGGCAGGGAGGGAGATGCAGTGATAGTGGTTGGCTCTGTTACGAACATGACTTGGTAATAACTATGATGCGAACACTTGTAGCGACTGGTAGTGATAGTAGTGACAGCGGTGGTGTTGATGACAGTGGTGGTAGTGGTGACAGTGGTGGTAGTGGTGACATTGGTGGTGCTTCTCAGACTCCCTCACTCCTGGCAGGGAGGCTGGGAGATGATAAGAGAAAGTGATGTGATGTCACTTCCAACTTCCTGGCCGTCTGCCAACTTGGTGAATTGGACGTGTGTTGCCTCAAATGTGGTGGCTGTGGTTGTCATAATAATTACTACTCTAATGGTTTCTAAAATTGTTCTCAGGCGGAGTTTGGAAATGTTCGATTTAAATACGATGTTTTGGTTTTTATTTTATACAGGTAATAGATTCACCTGTACGATGTTTATATGTTTAGATTATTGTTATATTTTGTTCAGTGGTACAGACCGAAGGGGGGGGGGGGAGTAATAGATGGAATTGTTAGTCTTAGTGTTATGTGTACGTACACTCGCTCGCTACTCACATAAATTATACTATCGCACGTACTAATGAACACACACACACACACACACACACACACACACACACACACACACACACACACACAAATTCAACAAGTTTGCCCGGAGATAAAACAGGTTGGTGGCAGAGGTCAGTCCAGACAGTGGAGTTCACTTGGAAGTTATTAAGTTAGATACATGTTGCAGGCGTCAGTCCCAGCCATGACTGAAGCACCAGATGGAGGCTGGGAAGTGAGGCATGTGTGTGTGTGTGTGTGTGTGTGTGTGTGTGTGTGTGTGTGTGTGTGTGTGTGTGTGTGTGTGTGTGTGTGTGTGTGTGTGTGTGTGTGTGTGTGTGTGTGTGTGTGTGTGTGTGTGTGTGTGTGTTAATCGAGACCGTAAAATAAACTTAATCTAATCTCATCTACTGATCTTATGAGTAATAGTTTTTTTTTATTTACCGAATTTATGCCTAGTTGTTTCGATATGCTTGACATTATTCATAGTTTAGTGAAGTATTATAATTAAAACTTTAATTAATGGCGAACATACATATATACGTACATACATACATACGTACATACATACATACGTACATACATACATACATACATACATACATACATACATACATACATACATACATACATACATGTTAATCTAACTTTTTTCTTATAACTTCTCATCCCTGTTCTGAGTAATGAGGCTTCAGCTGCCGTCTACATTCGGTGTTTATATTTGGTTGTTACCCTGGTACAATATTTGACCTGACTTATACCACAAAACAAAACAAAAAGCAAACTTGAGATTAAAAGTATACAATTAGCGTGGTGTGAGAATATTAGTATGCCAGGGTAGACGATACGTGTGTGTGTATTATCCTAAGAGATAAATATAATGTGTTTGTTTGTATGAGAGAGAGATAGTGTGTATGTTTTGGGATGTTGGACTAGTGTATATTTGTATTCAAGATTGTATGCGAGAATACATTCCAATGGTAGATTTGTAAGTATAAATACAGGTGTCTTGTTCGTTTGTATTCGAGGGTGTGTATGAGTGTCCTAAGTGTACCTGTGCGGTGTATTAGGGGAGTAGTCCTTCTCTCTGTATTTATTTCTTTGTAGTGTGTGTGTGTGTGTGTGTGTGTGTGTGTGTGTGTGTGTGTGTGTGTGTGTGTGTGTGTGTGTGTGTGGAGGACTGTAGGGGGGATCCCTTGTAAAGCTTTAAAGAGCAGGAAATCCCGAGGACACGTGTAAAATTTTTCCCCCGGCGTGACGTGGGAGGCTGGTGGTGACGGGAAGCCCCTCACCACTGTCTCACACTCGTTAAGTTTAGTTCATTTGCTTTCCTTCGAGATTCTTTAACCCGTAAATCATCTTGGTCGTCATCTTTGTGTTAATACCTACAAGCTACAGCACTAATCTAACTGATTATGTTCGTGGATTGGGAGATTTCTTAAGTTTGTGGATGATATTTACTGTTTATTTGTAGAAGAGATTGAACGAACACACAACATAGGAAATAATAATAAGCTTTTAAGTCTGTATATTAACCTGTTAGATATATCACACCGTCGCCCTTATTCCAACAGGTAGGTAGTGTGTGTGTGTGTGTGTGTGTGTGTGTGTGTGTGTGTGTGTGTGTGTGTGTGTGTGTGTGTGTGTGTGTGTGTCCGTCCCCCCTCGAGGTGATCTTGTCCTTGTGCCCAGCGACGCTCCCCATACCAACTAGGCCCTTAACTCGCCCCACATATTTCCTCACTAGTGTCCTCCCCTCTCGTTCTTCTGTCTCCCTCTTCTTCCCTCTCCCTCTTGCTTGCCTATTATTGTTCACTCCATTCTCCCTCTCACTTCTTTCTATCTCCCTTTCCTCCCTCTCTATCTCCCTCTCATGAGTCATCAGTGTTTAGCTGGTAGTCAAGAAACGTAAAGTGATCTCGAAATCCCCAGACGCCGGGCTTCTGTCTGGTCACGTAATTATCACAAGCTATTCCTGGACTCTTTGAAGTTCTCGGCGACGTATTGGTTATCGTCTCGGCTGGTGCTTAAAGGTGACACCTAGTATCCGTGGAGGGTGAGGACTTGGGGCAAAATATTATTGGCTGAAGCATGAACCAAATCTTGTTGCTTGGTTGCCTCGTGTGGTCAGTCATCTCGGGTTAAGGTTAGGGTCCTTCGGCATCCTCCTCCGCACCTTGTGGAGTGAGATCAATATGTATGAGTACTCCTCCTGGCTGGTTCTGTCCAACAGGTTCTGTGATGCCAATATGTGTTTTTATGCTCCCCAAGTCTGGTTCTTCTACTTTGACAGGATCAATATGTAGTGATCAATATGTTTCTTACTCTTTTCTCTCGGTTATTATTTGATCGGTGATAAAAAGAAACCTGAATTTATCAATTCTTGTGAAAACATAATTTATAGATAGCGTGTTCTGCCGCGCGCGCGCGCGTGTGTGTAGACACCAGTGAGCACCCTGTCAGGTTATCCCCTCCTTGTTGTATGAGATCAATAAATGTGTGTATTTTCCCAGGCTGGTGGAGAGAATGTTGGTCACTTATGATGGATCACATACACGCAGTGAAGTGGCGGGAGGGGGAGGGCCCGCATGTGACCCCCTGTTGGCGTTCCTCACGTGACCCCGTCCCTCACGTGCCGCCGTGGGAAGCAGCTACCCCTGTAGTGCTGAAGGGCGTCGGCAGCCAGGTGGTGTGTTAGGTTCAGATTACGAGTTATTTAAGACATAACACAAGTTTCCGGCTTGGTGAGGTTTAGAGAGAGCTGTAGGGTTAGGTTTTAATCTACTGTAGAGTTAGCGCTCGTTTCCGGGGATAGAAGAAGAATAGAGAATGAGGATAGGAACGTATAAGGGAGAATGTCGTGGTTTGTTTAGTGACGCATGCGTAAGAGTCTCTCTCTCTCTCTCTCAAATCCGAGTAGTCTTGTGATGAGAACAACAGACGTGTAGCGGGGAATACGGAAATCATTTTTATTTACTCAGAATAGGCAAACTGTACTCCAAGCTTTGTCAATAAATTTTTTAAACTTAAAAAAAACTCTCACTCTCTAAGTTTGTGTTTCCGGGAGCGGATTAAGAAGAACGAGAGTTGTATTATATAGTAAAAAGAAGAATCGGTGTTTAGCGGAGTGTTGTCTAGCAGTGAGAGGTTGAGTGGGTGACAGCCAGCAGGAAGCAGTGTACTGGACTGTGTGTGTTGCCAGTCTACTCTCTGGCCCAGGCTGCCTCTTATGTTAGATTCTATGAATTCTGTCCATCTTGTGAGGTCTTACACTTAACCTAACCTAACCTAATCCCCTGAAGCCTTGTGTCCACTCTTTAACTTGATATCTGATCGCGAT